GAGCGAAGAAAGGATCCAATAAAACGTTCAAAAAAAATTAAGACAGTTGTCAATTTTGGCGGCTAAAAAGTACATTTAAAAAAAACAAACGAACAAAAAAATCCGAACTGTGTTTTTCAGAATGTGTTCTTTTTAGACTGTCACTATTACTAGTCTACTTGATTCTATGTATCTTCTGTATACTAATTTAGCTTTGGCACAATTTTTCGTTGGAAGAGGAAAATAAAAGTTGAATTCCAAGTATACAACGGATTCTCATTTTTTCATCCAGTTTAAGAAAATATAGTAAGTTTTGCATTTCTGGTCTCTTTTTGGATAATGTTTCAAAAATAATATTAAAGAATAGGGTCTAAAATAGCGTAAAATTCATTCTAAAAGGGTCTAATTTTCAAAATTTTCCGGGGGAGGACCCCCGGACCCCCCTTCTACTGGGGGGCCCCCCAGACCCCCCTTCTACTGGGGGGGCCCCCCAGACCCCCCCAGGGGCCCGCCCCATACTTAATTTAGGGCCAGTCCGCCCCTGGTCGTCACTGTTTTCGACGCTGTCAAATGAGGAAAGAATTGAAGACACTCCAATCACGGAGCATGTGCCATGCGGCTATTTACGCGGGAAAGGGGGCCTCCAGTACTGATAAGCTCAAAATTGATCAAATTGGTGTGGCAAATTAGTATAATCACCAGCGTTTTGCGAAGCGGCCAAAGTATTTTTCCGACAAATCGCATTGATACGCAATGACATACTTAGGGCAAATTGTATAGGTGAAAACTTTCAACAACGCGATCTTTGCTTGGAAATGGAACGCCTTAATTTTTTCGAGATACTCTACGCTTTGTCACACGGTTAGTATAGTTGCCAATTTGACCCAAACACAAAATTGAAGTCACTTATTTCACTACAAGCACACAGGAGTGTGGTACTTACTACTATATATGAATTTGAAAGCGCTTATATATTTCTATTTAATATATGGAAAAGTATTTGGTGCTCTCTAATCGTTTCTATACTTTAATTCTTTTTTTTCATGATTATTTTTTACTGGTGGCTTGCAAATTGCCGGCAATTGCCATAATTGCCTACAACATTGATAAAACTCATGACACTTGTACTCACCACCCCCGCTCCCTGGTAAAAATTGGCAGTAGAATCTGTGTTCCAAAATACCATAGACCTACAGCCGGCTGTAAGATTTCCAATAGCTTCTATAGCCGGCAACACAATTTCTTATAGCCTTTTATAGCCGATGGCGATTAAGCAACAGCCTGGCGATAAAGTGTGTGCTAAACGTTACTAATTACGGATGCTGGGACTTAGTGAGTTATTGTACTACCGCTCTCTTTTTGGGCCGCAGTATCTTGATTTAATTTGCGAGGAAAGCTCCGTACTTTTGAAGGATGCCTGCCATTCCTAATATGTTGGAGCGCCTTCAATTTCGTATGATACTGTGCAATACATCCGGTGTGAAATAGTTGCTTCAAGCGCCGCGGTACGCTGCGGCGCGGCGGCGGGCGGGCAGCCAGCGCTGAACGCGCATTGGCGCCTACAAACCTAACTGGGATACTTCACGCATTGCGCAATGCGTGAAGTATCCCTGTTAGGTTTGCAGGCGCCAATGCGCCGCTTTGTGCCAGGTTCTAATTTTAATCTCGCGGAGTCAGCGTTTTTCAACTCATGACTTTGAAATGTTTGAACACTCTGTATGGATTATTCTCATAACATAATACATTAATTACATTAATATACATTAATTGATGAAAAAAAAAATATGTAGTAAAGGAAAATATAATGTGCGTTTTGTGAATATTAAGGTGATTCCGTACAAACTCAAGGATTTACAAAGCACAAGAATCTCTACACAATTTCTTATAGCCTTTTATAGCCGGTGGCGAAAAAGCAACAGCCAGGCGATGAAGCGTAAAGCCCGGCGATAGGAACTATAGCCCGGCTGTGTAATTTTTTATCGCTTCGTGTAGCTCGGCCGTATGATTGCTTCCACTTTCTACAGCCAGCTATATGATTTTCTATCGCCCTCTTCAGTCGGCTATAAGAACTCCTATGACATTTTGAAACGCAGCTCCTATCGCCAATTTTTACCAGGGCTTACGACTGCGGATTACTTATTTATTATTATTAGGATATTGTTTCTTGTATTGTAACAAAAATGAACTAAAAACTCAAATATATTTTTTTAGAGGGAAAAGTACGTTCCCTGCTAAAATCCTTAATAAATGAGTTGCTAAGACCATCAATCAACATGACCTACATCGCTCTACCTTGGTATGTATTTGTACCTATCCCTTTCCCGTACACGATTGTAAACAAATTAAATAAATTGAAGTTCTTGGAGGACAGCCGTTTTTGAAAATATTGAAATATTATTGATTTCGAATAAAACTAGTCTGAGTGCATTTTCTGTGGAAAATTCGCTCCTACATTCCGATTTATAAGCATCAAAAAGTCAGTTTGAACTTTCTTTCCGCTTTAAGGGTCCATATGTATTTCGAAACTTCAAACACGTATTTATCGAAATGGCAAAAACTTCACTTATGCGCCTTGTCCTTCAAGCTCCTCAATTAATAGGTATTCTTGGCCTCCCCCCCCCCCCCCCCCCCCCCCCCNGTAAATCTTGAGAGTACTTACTCACTTTGTGATGAAATCGCGACGGTTGAAGAAATGAAGTTCGGTTCTCTCTGAAGGAAGGACACTCAATCAAAAAAAGATGAGACAGATTAGTATGACGACTCAACGCATTAATTGTCAGCTGCGCTTTCGGAACGTGGTCCTCCGACGAGAGAGGCAGTGGCGGTGACGGTTAGTACCCTATGATGCACGCGCTGTTGCAAAAGTACGCTCAGAATTTGCACTTCTGAGGTCAACACTTCCTGAATTTTCCGCATATTACAATGAGAGATATTGAATTAGCCCATGAGCTGTTTATTTACCCGACGAAATTGTTAAAACGATCCCCTTCCATTCCATAATTTTTCCGAATCCCAAGACTCTCCGCATGGGGCCCACACTGGAAAAAAAACACATCGGATCTAGAGTCCAGACTCTTAAAAACATCGACAAGAAAAAATACCCTTGATTCAATCGGATTTAAGCTTAAATCAAGAACCCAGCCTCTTAATTTAAGCGGATTTCCTTTTGATTTAAGCTTAAATCTGATTGAATCAAGAGTATTTTCTCTTGTAATTGTTTTCAAGAGTCTGGACTCTAGATCCAATGTGTTTTTTTCTAGTGCATCGGTCATGCCCTCGCTATGAGGGCACTCCTCTTTTTCCTGTGGACGGTATTAAAATTGATGTAATTTATAGGTTCGGCATCAGGGGCTGGAGGATTTCCGTGTGACGCGACCGCGCTACAAACGTATGTAAATCGGTTGACAATTACCAGGTTGACGCACGGCGCGGCGCATCACGCCATCGGCGCTACCGCGGGAAATATTTGCGAGGAATCCTCAACGCGTAACATAACGGAACCGGTGCCAATGTAAACACCAAACAAGGTTGCCGTCCTCATACGTCAACCCACTGCGCCGCGCCGCGCTCTAAAATCCCGCCCGTACTCGAAAGGAGAAACCACCTATGAACCACCCTGTGGGAATTGCCAGTATCATTCGCGGTCCGGTTATCCGCTATCAGAGTATCTACGATTTGATTGGCAGCCGTCCGCTTGTTTGCGGTCCGATTGGCGATTACTCAAGATCTGGATGTACGCGGTCCTTATAGCCATAGTCGAATTATCCACGGACCTATTATCCACTGTCCAAATATACACGGTTTGGTTATCCGCCACCCGACTATCTTCTGTCCGGCTACTCGTGGTCTGGTTATCCGCGGCCCGCTTATCCAAGGATCGATTATCCACGGTTTGATTATCCGCTGTCCGATTACTCATGGTCTGGTTATCCACGGATCGATTATCCACGGTTTGATTATCCGCTGTCCGATTACTCATGGTCTGGTTATCCGTGGTCCTATTACTCATGGTCTGGTTATCCGCGGTCCGATTACTCATGATCTGGTTATCCGCGGTCCGATTATCCACGATCGATCATCCACGGCTTGATTGTCCGCCATCCGATTATCTGCGGTCCGACTATACCCGAAGTCGGGTTATTCGCGGTTCGACTACCCACAGGTTGATTATCCGCGGTCCGATTATTCACGGATCGATCATCCAAGGTTTGACTGTCCGCCGTCCGATTGTCCTCCAACAACACCTGAAGTCGGGTTATCTACGGTCCGACTACCAACGGTCTGGTTACCCGCGGACCGACTACGCACGCTCTCGCTATCCGCGGTTCGATTATCCACGGATCAACCTTTCTCGGTTTAATTGTCCGCTGTCCAATTATCTGCGGCCCGACTACGCACGGTCTGGTTATCCGCGGTCTGACTATACCGACGGTCTGTTATCTGCGGTCGGACTGCTAAGGATCTGGATATCCGCGATACGACTGCTAACGGTCTGGTTATCTATGCTCCGGCTACTCACGGCCTGGTTATCCGCGATTCGACTGTCCCCGCCCCGACTCGATTATTCACGGTTCTATCACCTGCAGCCTGATTGTCCGCCCTCCGATTATTTGCGACTTGTTCATCGCGGTTTGATTATCTGCGGGTTCAGATTCTTCGCGATTAACCGAAACTCTACTGAACTTCTGGATTGATGTTAGCGTATTGGCACAGCACGGACGGCCGAGAGGGGTGTGTCTTGCCTCATTAAGGAAACGATAATCGAATCGTCCGTTTTGCAAACAACCTAATTCCAAAATTTTTGAAAACATCGTTTCTTTGCAGAAAATGGTTGGTAGTTTCGGACGCAGTTTTTTTCCGTTTCTTTGGCCGGACTCCGAACGCAAGCCTGTCAGCTTTGTTTTATACAAAGTGACATGCTATCAAAAGTATATACATCGAAGATCGATATAACGATTATTTCGATCTATCGCAGACAAATTTCGATGCAACTGGAACATGAGTTTTTTTCTTTTTGCCTTAGGAATCAGAAACGTTTCGTCTTTTGACCAATATTTTGGACTTAAAATAGGTACAACATGCTTCCAAAACTAAGTCACATCTGTTCTCGTGGTAATTTCAAATCCTCCATGGTTGCAAATCCTTATGGGGGTCTGTACCTCCCCAGTGTCGGCCTGGCTCGAAGAATACTTGGGGGTGCTGATCCGTTTTCCAGGTCCTTCCTCTCAGGTGCCTGCCCCCCTAACCAACCAAAGTCTCCTTTATGTTGGGTTTTTCAAGTTTTGGGGGCTCCCACAGGAGTCCTTCGAGGACCCCCTGAGCCAAATTTCTGGGGTGCTGCAGCACCCTAGCACCCCTGGCCACACCACCCCTAGACCTATCTTCTCCCTCTGATCACACTGGTGCTCTGAATATATGCACATGGTAAGTAGTTTCCTTTGGTCGGAGTAAATTCCGGGAAAAGCTTGGAATACTGCGATGAAGATACGTGTTTTTTTACTTAATCGATCGTAGCGCGCTCATCACAATATGTTTTCGCCATGCCGCGGCGTGGCGTCGCATGACCCAATGAACTCTGACGATAAGATTCGCCGATAAATGACCATAATTCCATATGAATATTCATCATTTATTGAATGGCATTAAAAGCCGCTTCTTCAGTTACTCCCGAATCCGACCAGTGGATAGTTCCGAGTTCAAGTTTTCCGTCTGAGTGGTGAATTTTCTTCGAATTTACTTTAAAAAACGAATAGCTTTTTGTGATTCAGACTGTTTCGATATTTTATCCGGTCCAGTTCCAAAATGCACTACATCTTCAAGAAAGTAACCGATTCCATCAACATCGACTACTTCGATTTGAAAGGCGCCTTCGTGGACGTTTTGTGAGCCAATCGAAGTATTAACCTCATCTAGTCAGATTTTAAGTTGATTAACACTTTTTTGCCCCTTAAAGTGCGTGCCGTAAGTGCCGTGTTCGCTCAGCCACCTATTAAGTACAAAGTTAGTTATTAAAGAAGTGCGCAAACGTATCCTAACGGCGTTTGCTCTAAAAAGTTCCTTTTTTTTATACGAATTTCTAAAATTAACTCTCAAATTGAAATCGAAATTTTCTTTTAAAAAATTCAAAAATTATATTGTCCTCTCCTTCTTGGAGACCGCGCTGCTAGTCATTTAAGTGTGTGCTTTTATTTATTTGTTTTTTTCGCTGCCCGCGTTTTTTATTTTTTGAATCCATGGCGCGCAACGTGCCCTCTTCCTTACTCAAGCTCTTGAAGCGGCAGAAGGTGAGTGTATTCCTTCATTTTTTGCAAATATTTCTTCGTAAATTTTTTTTTAAATTTCATTGTTGGAACGGCAAAAGATTTTACGTGCCTCAAAAGATAAAAACATTGCATATTTTCCGGAGTTTCGTCTTTGACCAACGAGAATATCTCCTGGAATGTTTATATTACCTAAAATAAAACCTCGATTATTCGACCCTCGCGTTATTCGGCATTTTTTATTGCAGTTTCCGTCATTCTCGTAATTTTTGGCTGGAAGATAGAGAGGCAATCCATCCAATGAAAATCAGGATTTTCATATTCATAAGTTTACTGACCCTATACTCTTAAGGAAAACCAATATTCACTGATTTTTGACGTCTTCTCCTTTTGTAGAGACTCCAGTTTCGGTAATGGGGACTAGAATATACGGAGCTTACATAGTCCTAAAAATGTCGCCACGCAGTAAACTGGAAACTATTAGTATTTCCCATAAAAAGAACCAAAAAATCTTCAGTCAGCCCTTTCAAAAATATGATGATGCCAAACCCTTCTTTCGTAAATTTCATATTTAAAAGTGTTTATACATAATACGTTTCCACTTTTGTAACAAAAACTTGTAAAAATCAATCGCGACTGGAGAAAATTTAAAGGAAAGAAGGAAATCTATCGTTGCCTTCAATTTGTTTTTATTTAAACAAGTTATATTTAAGAATATTGTGACTACCACCAGAACCATGCTGTATGCCTTGTATCTATCTATACGGATTAAATTAAATTGTGCTTACTAAGTATAGCCAGATATAGAATAAGAGACACTCGCTTAAAATCTCGACTAAGCGATAGGGGTAACGCATTGGAGACCGTAACGTGTTGGATGCGACTATTCGTGTTTAGAGGTTGTTGGTGTTGCATATCGGTGAAACTGAAGGGGCACCGGCTTTCCTTCCTCTCGCGATAGTGAGCGCAGCGCGCCGCCGCACTGCACCACATTGCAATTTGCACCGATACCAATCGTTGGCGGGCGATACTTTTTTACGGGCGACTTCCGATAAATCGCCATTTTAACTTCACCGAAACCTGGACCAAATTTTGAGTTGTGAAGCCAACTCAATCTGGTAAGCGTGATTCTTTACAGAGAAAGGGATTTCAGTTGCCGGAGGGAAGCGATTTTCATGGAGATGGGTAAAAAAATAGTTGCGGGCGGAAAAAAAGAAAAATAATAAACTACAAGAGATTAGGCCCTGGTAAAAATTGGCGATAGGAGCTGTGTTTCAAAATACCATAGGAGTTCTTATAGCCGACTAAAGAAGGCTATTGAAAATAATATAGCTGACTGTGGGAAGCGGAGCAAATCATATGGCCGGTCTATACGAAGCTATAAAAAAGTATACAGTCGGGCTATAGTTCCTATCGCCGGGCTTATTACACGTTATCGTCATTGGCTATAAAAGGCTAAAAGCAATTGTGTAGAAATTCGTGTGCTTTGGAAATCCTTAAGTTTGATACGGAACTACCTTAATATTTACAAAACACACATTATATTTTCCTTTAAAACACATTTTTTTTTCATCAATTAAAATGAGAATAGTCCATACAGAGTGTGCAAACATTTCAAAATCATGAGTTGAAAAACGCTGACCCGCGGGATTAAATATTAGAGCCTAACACAAAGCGGAGCGGCGACGCACTGGCACCTACAAACCTAACAGGGATACTTCACGCATTGCGCAATGCGTGAAGTATCCCTGTTAGGTTTGTAGGCGCTAATGCGCGTTTCGCGCTCTCTGCCCGCCCGCCGCGCCGCAGCGTGCCACGGCGTCTGAAGCAACTATTTCACACCAGAGGTATTGCACAGTAACATTAAAAATTGAAGGCGCTCCAACATATTAAGAATGACAGGCATCCTTCAAAGGTACGGAGCTTTCCTCGCAAAATAAATCAAGATACTGCGGCACAAAAAGAGAGCGGTAGTCCAAAAACTAACTAAGTCCTAGTATCGTAATTAGTAACGTTTAGCATAAACTTTATCGTCTGGCTGTCGCTTAATCGCCATCGGCTATAAAAGGCTGTAAGGAATTGTACAGCCGGCTACAGAAGCTATTGAAAATCTTACAGCCGTCTTTAGGTCTATAGTATTTTGGAACACACATTCTACTGCCAATTTTTACCAGGGGGTGCATTATTTTGGCGGGTAATGAGGGCGCGTGGATTTTATTCTGAAAATGTTAAGCTCAGAATATAGCTGCTATGTGCATGGAACCGTTTTTAATCAATAAAAATACGTGCTTTTAACTGCACGCCTAAAACGGTCAAAATGCCGTTTTTTCCTAACTGAAAATTTAGAGGAGGCAGCATTGACAGGAGCGAACTATGAAAGCTACGTAAATTGCTATTTCGACTTCGATTTTCGAGCTAGGCCAGAGATCCGTTGTTCAGCAACTCTTACCAATTCGTTAATTTGTGTCTCAATGTTGTCTGCAAAGCCTGTCTCGCAGAAAATTATTTCACTTTCATTTTGACGCGCATTCGTAAGGACCTCGGTTGGAGGCGAATTTTACGGTCCAGCTGTATGATAAGGGGGTATTTTTAAAAAGCGAATCCTCATTAATTCCCCCTCAACTCAGGTTTTAAGTCGTGTCCATGCGTCAAATTTGACTAAAATCTATCGTAAACATACGCTTCTAGATTGGGATTGTATCCAGACCTATTGAACCGAATTCGCGTGTTGCAATGACGTCCATATGAAGGTTTTCAGCGCGCATCTCTCAATGGAGAATTTGCATGAAAAACTTTTATGTCACAGACAATTAGCAATCGCCGGTAAAGTGCAAGCAACTTACATGTTGTTACGCTAATACATTGCAATGATGAGTATAAAGCACAATAAATGTTTGATAGGCAATGACCCTCAAAAGTACGCGCTAGGTTGGAAGCGCCTTCATTTTCCCGCGATACTCAATGCTTTGTCAAGCAATTAGTTTGGTTGTCTATTCGACCCAAACCCAACTGAAGTTACTGGTTCCACGCTAGCGCACCGGTTCCTATACTATGTTTTTGGAGGAAAAAAAGCATCTATTTCAATTCGAGGATAAATAAATAGGTACTCTGATCTTGTTGGTTTATTTCTGGATTTTGTATTTTCCTATTTATCATCTGTGGCTTGCACTTAGCCAGCGGTTGCTAATTGCTCGTAACATATGAATCAGGATGACATTGCGGCTTCTTTTAAATAATTTAGTACTGCGAGTGAAAAAACAACCCTCTTCGCAAACAAATACGAAACCGATCTAATTACACAGTTTTTGGTCAGAATATAATAAGATGCGGATGTTTTCTTGCAGCTCGCTGTCAAGCAGATAGTTCGTCGCCAAGTCACTGCCCCAGCAACTGCGCCTGCCTACCATAATCCACATCAAAGTTTTCAGGTAAGCCAAATTATTTTTCCCCCTTGCTCCTTCTCTCTCAAAATATCCATGGTTAAACTGGACGTATTTGTGTGAAATGGAACTATGTGCAAGTGGAAAGATGCGGTGTGCTCGGGCCACAAGAATGAATGGGACTTTAAAAGCGCCAGTGCAGCGGTGTGGACAGTGGCGTGGCGTGAATTGCGATGTATCGATTGTTCTGCCATTTAAACCTATGGTAAGGAATCGATTATTAAGGTGTTCGCTGCGAACACCCTGTTTATCGATACTTTTCCATAGGTTTAAATGGCCAATCAATCGAGATATCGCAAAGCACGCCACGCCACTGGGTGTGGACCGGGCGCGACGAGACGCGACACGAGCGGCAACGACTAGGTCGTCAGTCTTTATCTCATGAGCCCTGTCCACAACGCTCTTGTCACATGCCCACAGCTCATGAGTTAGTGCTCAGTTTCTTTTGACTTAATTGAAAATTCCGCTTTTCCATTTTCTCTAGAGGAACGATATCCACTTTTACATTGTATCTTATGCAGCTTCCACGAGCACACCCCATCTTTCCACTTCCACATAGTTTCTTTTAGCAAAAATACGTCCAACTAAGATAACATGTATTGCAGTTTACAAATATGCAAACCGTCCATTGCCAAGTAGCATTTTCCAACGGAAAGATCGCGATATTTCGATATCAAGTTGCGATTTTTTCACGATTTCTTGGCGATGAAATTCCTAGGATCATCAACATAGGAGCGATTATCCTAGTGGCAATTTCATTTCTATAAAATCGGGATCGATGGAATCCAAATTTTATTTCGATATATATCACGATTTTTTGTTCGATAATATTGCGACAAATCGCCGCCGATAAAATCGTGGTTTTATTGCAAATTTACGCGATGTTGCACAAAATCGACGTTGATAAAATCGCGATGCGTCCTCCGATCAAATCGCAACTTATCGCGACCGCTGCTACTTGGGATTAGACTCTATTATACTGCCGTATGCTAAGGAAAAACGCCGTATGAACATTCGAGAGTTGCCAAATTTCCTTCAACAATATGTTTGTTTTTGGGGAATTTTATGAATATCTTTCCTTGAAATTTTCAGACGTTTTAGATCAATATTACAAACAATTTTATCTGAGAAATTGTTATACAAATTTTCAAAAATTTTCCTGAATGTTAGTGATTTACCAGGGGAAATTTGGCAACGCCTAAAGGCTCATACGACGTTTTTCCTTAGCACGGCAGTATAGAGCTTGTATTTTTAGAGTGCTTTTTACTAATAGCAATTTTTCCTCCAGTTACTTCACGAGATTTTTAAAGGGATCACGAGAGATTTAAGGGCCATGTAATGCTACAAGGATTTTTCAGCGAGGGCGCAAACATCGCCTTCAAAATACGTAAATGCAACCCGCCGATCGAGATACTACCCAGAGGCTCAGGGGCTGATTGAAAAACGCGTTTAGCCCCGCGCCCGCTCACATCGTATAGGAGGGGGGGGGTTCGGAAGAGGTTGTGTGAAATGACCTCATAGATAGTTGCGGCCGAAAGGTCGGCGGCTTAAATACATATCCAATTACAGATAATTATGTCTGCACTTGTTAGATAAAAAGGTGGCAAACACTTTCGCTCCTCATTTTTTTTTTATCAGTATGGTCTGAGGGCGTTAAAATAACCGACCAATCACGAGTGGAGAGAGGCGATACCGGACTCCTTTTCACCTTCAATCTTGCAAAACACACCTCCGGATACAAATACATAAGCTGACCCCAATAACACCCCGATGGTCATCTTACAATTGATAAATCCTAATTAGAGTCGGGCGTATAGTTTTTATGAGGAATTGATAAAACTTGGTGGTTTTTTCATCTCATGACAAGGTGTTATTTGTCTGACGGTGAATAAACCTTCTGTCTTATGACGTCAATGAAAAACGTTATGACTTTGGATTTCAGCGAAATTGGAGGGATGAATTGAAAAATTACAGTACGTATAACAAGCAATATTTGTTGGTCAATTACAGGAGCGAGGCAGGAAGTGTTTCATGGGAGGGGAGCAGAGGTAATAAATTCCTAAAAATCGCGAAAAATTATGTTTTTTGTGGAAAATGTCCTAGTCATGGGGATTTCTCCATGGGGAATGGGGGAATTATGTTTTTCATGGGGATGATGGCCCTTCCTCTCCTTTGCTACACAACTGAGTCTACAAGTAGAAGGAAGAAGACATTTTTGTAAAGCCTCTTCCTAAGCTTTAAAAAGGTTCATGAATAAGTTACAAAGCTCAGACCCGTGCGTTGCCGAAAATTTTCTGGGTAATTTTTATTTCCCTCCCTTTTTTGGATTCGGAAAACGTAAAATATCGGTCACAAAAAAGATGGATTCTCCATTCCAGAATTTGGATTTAAATTGAATTGAATCAAGTCAATTTTTTTATAGTCCGACAATTTATCTTACGATTACCTATTATTGCCGCGCTGAGATGAATTAGGCATCGGTCTATCTGTGTGAAAACGTATAACTCTCTGATTAATGGCAAGATAGCCCGCTCCAACTTCATTAGTTACAGGCCCTTTATCTGATTCCAAAATTAATCAGATGAATTTGATAATTTCACCGGGTATGCTAAGTGTGAGAATAGGTACGTACTCTGAGTTGGTTCAGCATGGCGTTCGATTTGGAGAGGCCTTTTAAGGTTAGTTTCACCGTATATAACCCTTTCTATATGAGAGATACGTGATTTGACACGGATTTCGATATTTTACCAAAAAATCCCCATCTCGTCCCCCCCCCCNCCCCCCCCTCCCTCGTCCACCGTGGCATACCCATAATACCGTGTGAGTGCATGGGTCTCTGGATGATTCATCAACAATATTTTTCCTGCACTTTCCAAAAATAAAATTATACCTACGCGTCTCGTCATCAGTCTCTTAAATGTTACGTGTATTGAATTTTCTGAGAAAGAGATCGCCACATCTGTGATTTGGTTTTACTTTTCTCCTCGTTTTTGTCCCGAAATATTCGTATCTAACAATCGTCTAAGCTCCCAAGGCCGAATTTAGGATTTTTTGGTCCATAAGCGCCGTTTGTGGTGCGGGCCACCTGCTGAAGTGCAACTATTCGGGGAAGGGGAGTTCGGTGATGAGCTTGTTCAGAAAAGGGTGAACCAGGGGGCTCTCCCTTAAAAACATTGAAATCTGAACCCCTCTGTATCGCATTTGAGCTTATTTAGCACACATTTGATATGAGAAAAAAGGAAGGGAGAAGGATCCCTCTTGACTAGAGTCTATGGAAATCAGGAAAAACGGGGAAAACACAATATCCGGAGAAAATTTTATGTCGAAAGGGGTAGGGGGAAAATAACTCTATGGTGCGGGCTCCTAAGCGCTCGCCTAGTGCCATTATGATAGATCCGGCCCTGTCTGCTCTGATACATCAAAGACTGATTTCGTCGCTCCTCTGACGTAAGGGCGTATCTCGATTTAGACATGAGCCCTGGAAAGCATGGCGTTATATGGACAACAGGGTTCACGTGGAAATCGAGATACGCTCTTACGTCAGAGGGACGACGATTTTTGAGATTTTGTCAGTGCTCCCATTCCGTGTCTGTCAAAAGTTCCGGGAGTCGGAACTTTTTTGTTCCAATTTCTCCCACTCCATGACCGTCAAAAGCCCCGGAATTCCTTTCAGATTTCTCAAAAGTTCCAAGAAAGTTCCAGAAAATGCAAAACATCGCGAATATTTTGGGAATTACAAAAATTCCGGGAAAAAATCCGGAATATCTCATAAGCTCCGGAATTCGGAAATATTTCCGGAAAATGGAAGCACTGGATTTTATGATCCTCGATGGAAGAGGATATTGGTGTCAGAAATCCTCTATTTGATTTTTTATTAAAGATGAATTTGTGGTGTGGTGTGTTTCAGTTCTCAGAGACCTCAGTGCGACAATGCCTTCCGTCGCAGCTGAAGCCGAAGCCGCCAGTGTCGGAACTGGGCTTCGGCACCCAATTCACCGACCACATGCTCAGAGTCGAGTATGACGTCGATAAAGGCGGCTGGCAATCTCCCCTCATAGTTCCTCTGGAGCCCCTCACCCTTCACCCGGCTGCTAAAGGGCTCCATTACGCCCTCCAGGTAAAACATAAATCAACAATCACTATTAAATTTTAGTGGAACTAAGCGATCGGGATGGAGGTATAATTGATTGCTGAAGTCGAAGAATTCGTGTCTCCACCTTATTTTTGAATAATCTCCGATTACGCTCGATCTTTTAAAAGGATGCCAACCAAACTACTACCCCATAGAAATAAATTTCAATAAAAGAAGAAAATTTATAGACATTTTGAGAAAAACTCGTTTGTAGTTTTATTATAAAGAAAAGAATGATAAATAAGTAGAAATTTTCAAGCGAAGCAGAGACGCGCATTTTTCAATTTCAGTCATCGGATTGCGGATTCGCAAATCTAATAGATTATTGATGGTCGAGTCATAAAAAACGTACCTCAATGTGACGATTCAAACAGTCCGCCGTTGTTTCATTTATAATTGTTTCTACTTTTATTAGAAAAAAAGGAAGAAAAAAAAGAATAAACGATATTGCCCAACATTTTCACAAAATATTCTATGCGGGGAGGAAGCATAAGGAGAAACCATGAAATTTCCAAAAAGTATAGTTCGTTGCTTCCCCTTTGAAAAATAACATAACGCGTGAAATCTGCAGTCGCGGTAAGAGTTTTGCGGCTTTGACCATCGATATTCAATTTGCGTTGGAGAGGAGTTAAAATAGTACATTCTAGCAAATTAGTGCGAAACAGCTCTTTTAAATCTATTGCCATCCACTATTTCCTTGCCGATTGCCGAATATTGGTTGTCATGGCCGGATTTACCTACTTGCCGCCCATGGGCCTTCTGCATTTTGCCGCCCTCTTCTCATTAATTTTGAAACATCAATAAAAACCATCAAGTGAACGTGCCGGAGGGAGATGGGTGCTTAAGACGCGTTCACTCGTGTTGGACACATTTTTCGCGTAAGCCCTGTCAACACTAATAGCAAAAGTTCACGGAACTTCGTGCGAAAATTCAGTTCCGTAAACCTATCTCTGTGGGTACAAGACCTTTCATCTGTAAGAAATAAACTGAAACATTAAGAAAGAACAAACATAAATGTGGCTTAATAATTTTAACTTCCGCCGCCGTGCCGCGCTGACCACACTGTGTCTGGCGCAATGCGTGAAGTATTCATGTAGTCTTGTAGGCACTGTGCGTTTCACGCCGCCGCGCCGCGCCTCGCCGACCGCTGTTGACCGTAGTATTCATGCAGTCTTGTAGGCGCTAGTATGTGTTACATGCCGACCGCCGCGTCGAGGGCTTCTCCTTTTCATCTCAAGTCCTCGTCATCATTTCTTTTTGCGCCGCGCTGCTCTAGGCTAAATTATGTGTTTGGTTTCTCTCTTAGCTCAACTTATTAAAGGTGCGCAGTCTTTTGTATCACCGAAATACGACAAAATTAGAAATTAATGAACTCTCAGGAAATGCGAGATTGTGTCACCTATTCTTGTTTGTAATTTTTTCTATATCCGATTTTTTTGTACCTGCATTTAAAAAAATTGCAAAATTTGCCGCCCCCTAATTTTGCCGCCATGGGCCGCGGCCCATGAGGCCACCCCCTTAATCTGGCCCTGGAAGGAAATTTTGAAGGAAAACCATTTAATGGTTTTCCTTCAAATTGATGGTAATGCAGTTTAAGCTACGGGAGGGTCGATGTAATTGCATTCCAAAGTGTGTGACATTCATTCATTGAAATGAAGAAAACCCGTATTGAATATTGTAATTCTAATAGGATTTTCCTCTTCATTAGCTATGCATCAATTTTTGTTGATATTTTATTGAGATTTGAAGTTGTTTCGAGGAAATCGAAGGCAATCGAGGTAACTGATGCGATATTCAAATGAAAAGACCATCGGCCTTTCCATTTGCCTATCTTCATGCCAGTCTGATTTTCATCATTCGATCACACTCCAAGTAACCGATTGCGAAATCGCAATATAATCCACATAACATCTGAAATGCCTCCCATATCATCTGCGCTCCCGCGGCGGTATCACTTTACATAATCGCATTTTACAGTTTAAAAACCCCGCGTTGCAATCATGCAATCGGAGCATCCGTAAACGTCGTCGCCCGGTTCATCAGACACACTGATAACGGGGGAAAAATCGGAAAACAATCTCGGCGCGACGGAGAATGATTTTTCAAAACGGAAAATTTCCCACGCTGTCCGCGGGCAGGGTATATTTTCCAGGAAATTACATCAGAGATGAACTTGACTTTCGGCCCCGAGGATCGGCGACTTTAATCGGAGTCACAAATCTGAAAGCTCGCAGAAGGAAACAACTGAATAGCTTCATTAAAAAAAGAACCGACGAGAAAACTCGATTTTATATTGGCGAAAACATCTCTCGATCCGCGACGCGATTAATCAGACGGCGCGTCCCTTTTTTCTGATAGGCGGTCGTGCAATTACTTAAGTACATTGTTTACATGACGTAACCATATCACGAGAACTATCCGCGGGTCAAGTGTCAAGCGCATGTTCTTCTCGAAAACGCATATTGGCTTTTTTAGCACCCGCATGTGTCTTCTATCTCTTGCACTTTTTTTTCAAACGGTCTGCCACCTTTTTCAACGTGTTTGCTCACACCTCTTTAATTGGATGTCTCTCGAGTGAGGCTTCCTGTCTTGATAGAAGTGATGGTGCGCCTGATGCACTCCTGCAGCAAGTTTCATAGGGCAATTTTTTTAATATCGCACACCTTAAAATGTCACTCTAGCCGGAAATTAAAACGTTGAAACAGTGAAAGCCATCGGGGCTTAATTTTGTTAACGTTTCGAAGTTCCACCTCGGAAAACCCCCCCCCCCCAATCAACAACTGTATGTGTTTTACATACAATTTCGAAAGATTTTGTTAAATAACGAGAAAATATATTAATATATAACGAGAATAAAATTGCAACCGTTTTCGAGCAAATGAATGAATTCCTAAATAAACGAAATTTTGTAACGCTGCGATTCAATGAAGCCCCCCTCGCTCTCACTTCAACTGGAGTAAAATTTCGAGAGGCGAAAAGATTTTTAACCCATAATTTCCGTGATCCCGATGGATTGCTCATTTTTGAATTTATTTTCGCCTAAAAGCGCATTTTCTTTTTCCTGACTTTCCATCTAACCCGTCACAAATTTTACAGAAAAACTTTCATATACGACGAACACGACGACGGGACGTTCAGAATAACGCCTTGATGCAACTATTCGAGCTCAAGTGTTGCCCGTATTGCCTACGCTCAAATTTGAAGGAATTTTGATATTTCTTAGACTCTTTGTCTTTGTTACTTCTTCCTCAAAGACTGTTAGGCTGATGAATACATCTAATACTCTTCCCACCCTAGTTTTTAGCCTAAGAACTCCACATATGACCGTCTGTGACGTAACTTTTCAGCATTTTTAATTAGTCATTATTTAATTAGCACATTATACTCGTACACGGATTTTTTCAAGTGGCAATCAATACGTCGTAGCTTATTTGAATCCTATTTGAAGAGAATCGTAAAAAGTAATCTATCAAGAATCTGTACGTTGAAATGGCTTTCAAAGCATTCCTTCCCCCACTTTTTTGCCTCTACAAGCCTAAATATTATACAAAGACTCAAAATGCATCCAGTACATACTGAGATTCTGACTCCCTTGGTAAAAATTGGCGATAAGAGCTGCGTTTCAAAATACCATAAAAATACTTACAGCCGGCTAACGAAGGCTACAGAAAATCATATAGCTGGCTGTAGAATTCGGAGAAAATCATACGGCCGGGCTATTCGAGGCGATAAAAAATCATGCAGTCGGGCTATGGTTCCTATCGCCGGGCTTTACACTATATCGCCTGGCTGTTGCTTTTTCGCCATCGATTATAAAAGGCTATAAGAAATTGTGTAGAAATTCGTGTGCTTTGAAAATCATTCAGTTTGATACGGAACCACCTTAATATTTACAAAACACACGTTATATTTTCCTTTAATACATATTTTTTTTCATCAATTAAAACGAGAATAATCCATACAGGATGTGCAAACATTAGCCTAACACAAAGCGGAGCGGCGACGCACTGGCGCCTACAAACCTAACAGGGATACTTCACGCATTGCGTAACGCGTGAAGTATCCCTGTTAGGTTTGTAGGCGCCAATGCGCGCTTCGCCTTTCGCGCTGGCTGCCCGCCTGCCGCACCGCAGCATGCCACGGCGCTTGAAGTACTATTTCACACCAGAGGTATTGCACAGTATCATACAAAACTGAAGGCGCTCTAATATATTAGGAATGGCAGGCATCCATCAAAAGTACGGAGCTTTCCTCACAAAATAAATCAAGATATTACGGCCCAAAAAGAGAGCAGTGGTCCAAAAACTCACTAAGTCCTAGCATCCGTAATTAGTGACGTTTAGCATACACTTTTTCGCCTGGCTGTGAGTTGCTTAATCGCCATCGACCATAAAAGGCTATAAGAAATTGTGTAGCCGGCTATAGAAGCTATTAGAAATCTTACAGCCGGCCGTAGGTCTATGGTATTTTGGAACACAGATTCTACTGCCAATTTTTACCAGGGTCCCTAAATTTTCATTTTTGTCACAGTTCGTTCTACCGTCCTGCTATGCCGAATTCCATGATTTTTACGGCTATTGACAGGTGATATGTCAGGTGATATATGGTCACGTTTGATTCTTGCAACTAATATATTGATGTGCAGATTGCCTACTCTCTCCCCTGAAGGAGCTATCATTGTTGGAACTAGTTGCAATTAAGTTGAAACATGTTTCAACTTCAAAGTATTGCTGGTTGCCTATCTTAAGATTTTAAACAACTTTGGTGCAGCAATTTTGCAATGTCAGCAGGTTGCGACTTCGTCCTCCAATCTGCAGATGGCCGAAAATCGGCACTTATCGACTAAAAGTTGACCGAAAGTTGCAACTTTATTGCAACTAACACCAGCATTGTTTCAACTTTTTGCAACTTTTAGATTGAAAAATGCTGCTTGGGCTACCGTCTACCATGGTATTTAAACTTTTGGCGCCTCCATGTAACGTTGCGTATGCGGTTTCAGCTGTTCGAGGGGATGAAGGCGTACCGCGGCGTGGACGGTCGGATCCGGGTGTTCCGGCCGGACTTGAACATGGCGCGGATGAACAACTCGGCGCTGCGGATCAGCCTGCCCCAGTTCGACGGCGAGGAGCTCCTGAAATGCATCAAGAAATTGGTCAGTCTCGACCGGGAGTGGGTGCCCATCTCGGAGACGGCCAGCCTCTACATCCGACCCACGCTCGTCGCCACCGATGTAAGTCAACCACCCAGCTCACTCCGTCACTCCAACTTCCTCTCACTCTCAACCTAGACCAGTAGACCAGTCTAGCACCTCCATAATACTGCCAGGGCCGGATTTACCAATGGGCTACATAGGCTATAGCCTAGGGCGCAACATTCTGAGGGGCGCAAAATTTTTGAGAATTTATTAAAAAATGTGACTTATTAAAAAACCAACTTGCAAACGTAAACGTTCCTTAAAACTGTCTAAAATCGTGTCTTTTTAAAGGTGAATTTGAACATTTTCATAACACCTAACATCCTCTTTCTGATCTGGAGGGGAGGGGCATCTGGGGGACGACCCCCCCCCCCCCGAGAGCGCCTACTTTTAGGGGCGCCATCCTAAGTTTAGCCTAGGGCGCTAAATGATTAATGAATGCGCCGATTTTTAAAATGCCCTGAATACTGCCGTGCTAAGGAAGAACGCCGTATGGACCTGCAGGCGTTGCCAAATTGTCTTTGATGAAACACGAATTCTCTGGTAAATTTATGAATATTTTTCTTCCAAATTTTCAGAGAGATTTGTTCGTATTTTGATCTAAAGTTCCTGAAAATTTCAAGGTAAAATATTCATAATTTTCCTCGAAAATAAACATTTTATCAAAGGAAATTTGGCAACTCTCGAATGTTCATACGGCGTTTTTCCTTAGCACGGCAGAATAGCTCCACTGCTCCTCTGGTCGCAGAAGAATTGGCGTTGACACCTTGGGTCCAGAAATAACACTTCTCGATATCAATAACTTCGATTTTAAAAAATAGTGATCTCAGTTACTCATTGGTGACTTTTGGTCGACTGGGGTTTCTAAATTTTGTCACATATTTTTACGTGATAATTTTAAGTAGATCAGATTGCACGAAAAATTCCAAAAAAAGGTTTTTTATGTAGACTAGTCCAGAGCACCTCTTGCTCCATTGCTCAGAGAAGGATTGAAGCGTTGGGTCCAGAAATAACCCCTCTCGATATCAATAATCAATAATATCAATGACGATACCAATTAACCATTGGTGACTTTTTGTCGACCAGGGCTCCTACATTTTCTCACGTGAATTTGTCACGTTATTTTTTCACTTGAAATTTTTAACTACGTCAGATTACACAAACAATCCTAATTTTTTCTTTTTTTTTTTTTTTTTTTTTTTTTTTTTTTTAAATCGTCACCAATATCAGGAACGGCGAAAGGTTTTAGCCGTCCTATTTTTCATGATGGCCTTCCCAATTTTAAAAACCTATATTTTTCTTCAGAAATTTCAAAAATATGACTTTTTTACGACTCTGTGCGTATGCTTTGCCGCCATTGTGCTCAAGAGACATGATTTTAACCGCGAATTTACAAAATACACACGATTCTTACCGCAGCTCTGCAAAAATATGCGCGATTTGACCGCAGCTTTCTCCTCTCAAGACACCGTTTTCGCGGTCTTCCCATTTGTGCGCGCAACCCGCCCCACAGTGGATCGAGTCGATTAGAGAATCCGGACATTAAATTTTTGACTAAAACTGTAAATTTCAATGTTTATTTCGTCACATTTTAAACTTTAAGGGGTGTTTCTAAAAGCGAATTTTACGAAAAAACTAATGGAACTACTTTTAAGACCTCAAAATTGTGTATGAACGGAGTTAAAAGCGTTTAAAGGTTATAAATTTTGTCCGACCTCTCCTGTTGACTTGATCCACTGTGCGCCCGGTCGAGAAATGTTTGCACCCCTGGCCGCTACAAGAGGGGCACTAAAAGCTCTTGGTTTTTGTTTCCAGCCGGTGCTGGGTGTGAACGCGCCCTCCAGCGCCCTTCTCTACGTGATCCTGAGCCCGGTGGGCCCCTATTTCCAGACGATGAAGGCCCTCACGCTACTCGCCGAGCCCAACTACGTCCGCGCTTGGCCCGGCGGCAGTGGCTCCACCAAAGTCGGCGCCAATTACGGCCCAACCATCTACGTCCAGGTAAAGCCCTCNAATTAATAAAATGTTGATATAAAATAAGATTTATTGAGCTTCGTCCCTGCAATAAAACATTGACTTTTTTATTTTAAAAAAAAAAAATAAATAAACTGGCAACAATAACTGATTTTGCACGAGGCGGAATGTTCGGTAAGCTGATTGTGAGCAGCATACAAATTCACTCAACACCTCACGTACGCTTATAAAATTTTATGTCACTCACACCTACTCTGCCGTGCTACGGAAAAAAGCCATATGAACATTCGAGAGTTGCCAAATTCCCTCCGATAAAACATGTAGCTTTGAGAGATGTTACCAAGATTTTTCCTCGAAATATTCATATATTTTAGATTAAATTGCGGACAAATCAGTCTGAGAAAGATTTGAAGAAAAATATTCACAATTTTTCCAGTAAATTTGGTTATTCATTGAGTGAAACATGGCAACGTCTGAGGGCTCTTACGGCGGTTTTCCTGAGCATGGCGGTGCTACCTTTGAGATCGTGAAGGCGTTTGCCATGTGCCGTTCAGACGTTCGAAGGCAAATTAAATCGCAATGCGTCAAACAGAGCGCGTCGCTGTCAAACTTACCAGAAATATTTTGTTGTGTATTCAATAGATACTTTTACCTCGCTAACAGAAGAAGGAGATTATGTACTGATACATGAAAAAAGGGTGAGAAAATTTACCGANGGGGGAGGAGGATATTTATGGGTAGCCTTGACTTGTTTGATCCTCCTAGTATCCATTTTTGTTACAAGTTTTATCAGAGCCCAGGGTACCCTGATAAAAATTGGCAATAGGAGCTGCGTTTCAAAATACCATAGGAATTCTTATAGCCGGCTAAAGAAGGCAATAGAAAATCATGTAGCTGGCTGTAGAAAGCGGAGCAAATCATATAGCCGGGCTATACGAAGCGATAAAAAAGTATACAGCCGGGCTATAGTTCCTATCGCCGGGCTTTACACTTTATCGTCATCGGCTATTTAAAGGTTATAAGAAATTGTGTAGAAATTCGTGTGCTTTAGAAATCATTAAGTTTGATACGGAACCACCATAATATTCAAAAAACACACATTATATTTTCCTTTAATACATATTTTTTTTCATCAATTAAAATGAGAATAATCCGTACAGGATGTGCAAACATTTCAAAATCATTAGTTGAAAAACGCTGACTCCGCAAGATTATATTGCCAGCCTAACACAGAGCGGAGCGGCGTGCTGCCAGCGATAAGCGCGCACCAGCGCCTACAAACCTAACAGGGATACTTCACGCATGGCGCAATGCGTGAAGTATCGCTGTTAGGTTTGTAGGCGCTAAGGCGCTTTTCGCGCTGGCTGCCCGCCCACCGCGCCGCAGCGTGCCACGGCGCTTGATGCAACTATTTCACACCATAGGTATTGCACAGTATCATACGAAATTGAAGGCGCTTCAACATATTAGTAATGGCAGGCATCCTTCAAAAGTACGGAGCTTTCCGCGCAAAATAAATCAAGATACTACGGCCCAAAAATAGAGCGGTAATCCAAAAACAGTCCTAGCATCCGTAATTAGTAACATTTAGCATACACTTTATTGCCTGGCTGTTGCTCAATCGCCATCGGTTATAACAGGCTATAAGAAATTGTGCAGCCGGCTATAGAAGCTATCGAAAATCTTATAGCCGGCTTTAGGTCTATGGTATTTTGGAACACAGATTCTACTGCCAATTTTCACCAGGGTACCTCCCCCGGAATCTTAAATGGACCGCGTTAAAGCAGATAGGAACCAAGCCACATCCGCTATTGCCAAATTTATTTGGGCAGTTTAATTTTTTACATAAAAACGGTTGTGCGGATTTTAGAGCAAATTTCAGTGAATTTTCTGCATAGCACGGAGCAAATTCCTCAAAATTTCCAAAGGAATCCGTACAAACTTTCTCTAGTACACATTTAAATTGCCCAGTTAAATTTGGCAACAGTTGATGTGGCTTGGTTCTTTTCTGCTAAGCGCGGTCCAGACGCGAGTAGGAGCTGCTGTTCGAATCGAGTTCAGCAAAAATCCCGCGAGTTTAACGTCGTCGGCTGGGTGTATAATAGACTCCCACCGCTAACTCCAAAATTGGTCGAGCTATAAATGAAAATAGAGAGGCCGCATAATCAAACGGTGGATCGTGGTGAAACGAGAAGCTCTAAAAATGGTTATTCTAAGGCCTCTCCACGCATGAATGGAAGTATCTATTGGATAGAAGTTATAAACAAGGCCGTGATGGACTTCAAAGAACTTATATAGTCGAGTGAATGGGTGATGGTGTGCGTGCGGCAATTCTCAGGCATATAAACTGTATTATGACAAAGGAGCGTTTTTGTTTTAAGAAATTGAGAAAAAGTAGAATTGACTGGGTAAAAAGTACCTGTGCGGGTTATTTGCCTACTTCACTATTTCGCCTTCAGTTTCCACGGTAGGCCATACAACATCCCCGGAGCAGCAATGGTTGTATTGAGGTTCTGCGTCCTTTGAAAATTGTTTCCTTTGGAAAAACGTATGTGGAAAACTTGGCAGCACTGTTTAGCATTTCTCTCTCCTCCGATGGAAAGGAATAGAATTTGAATTTCAAGAAGATCAAAGTAGGGCAATTTTAGACATGGAGTTGTAAAATCGATGGACTTTGAAAGTATACAAACCGTCTGAAAATACTGCGGATGCAAGGAACGGAAAATGAAGACAAATTTTTAATTAGCTTATCCCCTTGTAAGAATTGACGATATGATTCCGCTTTGTATTTTATGGAGATATCATTTTTTTCTCTTTTTGTAGTCCGTGGCGAAAGAAGTCGGTGCTCATCAAATTTTATGGCTGTTCGGAGAAAATCATGCTGTCACCGAAGCCGGAGCCATGAACGTCTTTTGCGTCTTCATCAACGATAAAGGAAGTAAGTTTGAGAACGTTTTTATCTACTTGTAGAATTTCAGCATCGGTTTTATTTTACACGCAAGCGTCACAGATCGAATCATTCAGTGACATACCTCGAGCACGAGTGATCTCATTCAAACGTTTTGATGGAGAGAGACGGGGCGTCTTCAGTTTTTTGCGTATGCAACGCGAACATCCCTCGAGCTTGAATGATCGCATCCAAGCGTTTTGATGAAGAGGGCCGGGGTGCCTTCAATTTTTTGCCTATATGCAACGCGAACATCACTCGATCTTGAATGATCGCATCCAAGCGTTTTGATGAAGAGACCCGGGGCGCCTTCAATTTTTTGCGTATGCAACGCGAACATCCCTCGAGCTCGAGTGATCGCATCCAAGCGTCTTGATGAAGAGACCCGGGGCGCCTTCAATTTTTTGCACATGCAACGTGGACATCTCGCTCTCTAACACGAATTATTGGTGGAATGTCCGCTCTTCGAGGGAGGGGGAGAAAAAAAGGAGAGAGAGAGAAAAGAAAGGGAATAGAAAAGTAGCCATATTATGAAAACGCAGAATCACCGCAATAGTGCAATGCTTGTATCAAAAATTGATGCGATGCCAAGAATGAAATTTCATTTTTTTTCTTTTGCAACAATGTTTCTCCTCCGAAATAAACAATCTGAGTAAATCTTCCTGTGAGAGAGATTAAATCCATTTTTTTCGACCATTGGTCGTCCGTCTTTGTCAATTTTTACCATTTGATCGGTTTCAAGAGGCGCGACTCATCGCGAGTCTGATTATAATTTCGATTTTTAGAGGTGTCTCATCTCCTTTATCCCCGAAAATCCCGAGATCCGCTCCGTAATGATTCTGCTGTACGCTCCCACCCACCTCCCACCTTTCACCTTCGATGTTTTTACTTCGCATTTGCCATTGAACAATCGAAGCACAGGATGTCGCAGCAGTTTCGACGTTTGACGAGGACACATAAAAGCACATCGACGGCCAAACACTGGAAAAAAAACACATTGGATCTAGAGTCCAGACTCTTGAAAACATTGACAAGAAAAAGGACTCTCGATTCAAGCAGATTTAAGCTTAAATCAAAAGGAAATCCGCTCAAATTAAGAGGCTTGGTTCTTGATTTAAGCCTAAATCTGATTGAATCAAGAGTATTTTTTCTTGTCGATGTTTTTAAGAGTCTGGACTCTAGATCCAATGTGTTTTTTTCCAGTGAAGTGCGAAACCTTGTGTCTCCGTTCGCGACGTCGCGTCGGAGACCTCCTGTCATATTTTACTTTTCTCTTTGAAAAACTGGTCGACTTAATTTCTTGAAAACTCCCTAGATTCCTCTTTTCCATTGGCAGAATATTCCGCGTAGATTTCAAGCTATACTGCCATGCTGAGGAAGAACGCCGTATGAACCCCCAGGCGTTGCCAAATTTCCTCTGATACGATACGAATTTTTAGGGGAAATTTTAGTATTTTACTTCCAATTTCTGAGACAATTTTGTACGCAATTCAATCTAAAACATCTGAAAATCTTGAGGTAAAATATACATAGATTTCGTCAAAAATAGACGTTTTATCCGGGGAATTTTGGCAACTCTCGAAAGTTCATCCGGCGTTTTTCCTCAGCACGGCAGTGTAAAGATAGCTTGTTTCTCTCCTGAAATATGAAGTTGGAGCAGAAATTCTGGAACACCGCAATGGACACGGAGAAAAGAACTTCGTGCGTGGGACCCGAAGTTTAGGTCATATGGATCTCTGAAGTTTTCGGATTGAGCATCTCAACACTTTAGGTCCACCTGCTGAGGTTTGGATCACACATCTGAAACTTCAGTTCTTACATCTGAAGTACTTCGGTTTTCACATCCGAAAAACTTCGGTTCTCGCATCTGAAATACTTCAGATATAAGAACTGAATTTTCAGATGTGTGATCCGAACCTCGACAGCTAGACCTAAAATGTTCAGATGCTCAATCCGAAAACTTCAACGATCCATATGACCTAAACTTCGGGTCCCACGAACTAGGTTTTTTTCTCCGTGGAGATATCGCATTTGAGCCATCGACATACAACTGATTGAATGGTGCCTACGTCACAGCGAGNTACAGAAAAACTTTCATGTACGACGAACACGACGACGGGACGTTCAGAATAACGCCTTGATGCAACTATTCGAGCTCAAGTGTTGCCCGTATTGCCTACGCTCAAATTTGAAGGAATTTTGATTTTTCTTAGACTCTTTGTCTTTGATACTTCTTCCTCAAGGACTGTTAGGCTGATTAATTCATCTAATACTCTTCCCACCCTAGTTTTTAGCCTAAGAACTCCACCTATGACCGTCTGTGACGTAACTTTTCAGCCTTTTTAATTAGTCATTATTTAATTAGCACATTATACGCGGATTTTTTCAAGTGGCAATCAATACGTCGTAGCTTATTTGAATCCTATCTAAAGAGAATCGTAAAAAGTAATCTATCCAGAATCTGTGCATTGCAATGGTTTTCAAAGCATTCCTTCCCCCACCCCTTTGCCTCTACAAGCCTAAATATTATACAAAGATTCAAAATGCATCCAGTACATATTGAGATTCTGACTCCCCTGGTAAAAATTGGCGATAAGAGGGCCGCGTTTCAAAATACCATAGGAATTCTTATAGCCGGCTAAGGAAGGCTACAGAAAATCATATAGCTGGCTGTAGAATTCGGAGAAGCATACGGCCGGGCTATTCGAGGCGATAAAAAATCATGCAGCCGGGCTATGGTTCCTATCGCCGGGCTTTACACTATATCGCCTGGCTGTTGCTTTTTCGCCATCGATTATAAAAGGCTATAAGAAATTGTGTAGAAATTCGTGTGCTTTGGAAATCATTAAGTTTGATACGGAACCACCTTAATATTTACAAAACACACGTTATATTTTCCTTTAATACATATTTTTTTCATCAATTAAAACGAGAATAATCTATACAGGATGTGCAAACATTTCAAAATCATGAGTTGAATAACGCTGACTCCGCCAGATTAAATATTAGAGCCTAACACAAAGCGGAGCGGCGGCGCACTGGCGCATGCAAACCTAACAGGGATACTTCGCGCATTGCGCAACGCGTGAAGTATCCCTGTTAGGTTTGTAGGCGCCAATGCTTTCGCGCTGGCTGCCCGGTGCCCGCCTGCCGCACCGCAGCGTGCCACGACGCTTGAAGCAACTACTTCACACCAGAGGTATTGCACAGTATCATACGAAACTGGAGGCGCTGTAATATATTAGGAATGACAGGTATCATCAAAAGTATGGAGCTTTTCTCGCAAAATAAGTCAAGATACTACGGCCCAAAAAGAAAGCAGTGGTCCAAAAACTCACTAAGTCCTAGCATCCGTAATTAGTGACGTTTAGCATACACTTTATCGCCTGGCTGTGAGTTGCTTAATCGTCATCGACTATAAAAGGCTTTAAGAAATTGTGTAGCTGGCTATAGAAGCTATTAGAAATCTTACAGCCGGCCGTAGGTCTATGGTATTTTGGAACACAGATTCTATTGCCAATTTTTACCAGGGTCCCTAAATTTTCATTTTTGTCACAGTTCGTCCTACCGTCCTGCTATGCCGAATTCCATGATTTTTACGGCTATTGACAGGTGATAGTCTGTAAATGAACGCTCTGTATTCATATTTTGGAAATATGACCCAAGTTTTAACATTTTACGATATGATAAAGTTGTGAACTCTCGCCCATTTGAACAAAGTAAACTTCCATTTTTGTCACAGTTCTTTCAGAAGATCTATTGAACCTATATCTGATTTTTGTGTAGTCTCTAGATGAGTCCCTTCTGCCATTGGCGGATCCAGCGATTTGGCAACACCGGAGTTCCTCTATTTAAACCTATGCTAAATAATCGATTCTTGTCGGGGCATCTGGCTCCTCCAAAAATCGATACATTTCCGTAGGTTTAAATGGAAATAATCCGGTTTGCCAAATGGCTGTATCCGCCCATGCCTTCTTCTTAGAGTGTCTCAA